ACACCATCCAACACGCTGGGAGTTTTTAAAACCAGCATACAGTCTTGATCCTACTAAGTAAAATAAAGAGATCTGCTCAGTTTGTTATAGCGAGGATATTAGAGTCCATCCAAATTAATAGACAATGCACAGCAGGGAGGGTTAAAGCAGGTTTCACATTAATGATAGAGAACACTTACAATAGGGACACTGTGAAACTAGACCAGGACCAAAGGCTGACTGACTAACAAAGAGCCGCTCCAATTAAAAACACCTTTCATCGAAGGAGACGAGCTGCTGATAGGCTGGTTTGTTGGTTGTTCTTTATTTATTGTTTTCACTCCCCAAAATGAACTACGCAGACGGAGAGGTCCACCAGCGTATCTGCATGATTACAAGATAAGCTGCCAAACTGAAAAACAACGCATGAGCATCTACAAACATCACAACCGTTCATGACAGCGAACCAGACGATCGTAAACAACGCTTTCATCTGAGCTGATAATGCCACTCCTACCGCTCCATCCTCTCCTCCTGTCACAACAAAAATCATTAGAAAAAACAAAAAAAGACAGCAGTGGATATGTATGCAGGTTCTCTGTGCTGTCAGTCTAAACACAGCCTCAGACCCCCGTCGCTCTCCCCATAGGACCGCGGAAGTATCGTAAATTATCGCTGGAAACTTTCCCCCGACTGCGTACCCCAGGAACCCAAAGATGCTGCAGATAATGTCATCAACAACCCACCTCCAGGGGTGAAGGCATCCTGCCTCCCTTTAAAATTAACTGTTTGAGGTCGGTTCAGATGCAAGAAATAAATAAACTTAATGTGTGTTCTGAGTGTGAAGAATGTGATGGAGTTTGTTAGTTTACCTGCTAGCCTCTATGTTCCTTCTCATTGGTCTCATTCAATCTAAAATTCATCACATGAGAGAAGAGGAGGAGAAGCCAGGTAGGGTTTTGTTTTAACCAAAGTCTGATATGATTGTTTATGTTACAGGGATTGTTTTGTACGGAGCCCCGGAAGGGACATGGAGAAAGCAAAAAACAGGGACAGGAAAATAAAATAAAAATAGAGGTATCGTTTGTGAGATCCTGCAAAACTTTCTTGCAAAAGTCACATCAGTCTTACTGGACGTTTTGTGAAAACTGTGCCTCTTGCTGAGCACTGCTTGAATGTCTTTATATTTTAGGCCGATTTCAGAATAAAACTCGATAAAACTCTGGTATGGGTGGATGTCCTCCATTCTGCCAGAAAGACCCAGACAGTCCACACATAGTTCACTACATGGCCACATAGAGTCAGGAGTCAGTGGATGAGTTACAATCCTGTAGTTTTGCGAGATCTCACAAAAGATATCTTTATTTTTTTTTCCTCTCCCTGTTTTTTTTTTTCTCCATGTCCCTTCTGGGGCTCTGTAGTTTTGCATCTGGTATTTAGAATTTTTTTTTAACCCTAATTAAACAAACAAACAAACAAAAAAACAATTAGTCCAGAATCTTTACAAAAACCCCAAAGCCTGAACTTTATTTTTCTGGGAGGGAATCACGTCTTCTCGCCTTCCTCTCCCACACACAAAGTGACCACCGGCCTCGCTCGTGCAACAGCTGAGCGGGAGAGCTGGAATGAATTAAATGTGAACGTGCACACGGACCTGCGATTAGCAGCTGTTTTCTCTGAGGTCTACTAAATTTATATGTCAAGCGCAGCAGCGGAGTAACTAAGAGCATATTTGCCCTGGAGAAAAACCTGCCCATGATCAAAGAGGGTCACCGAGACACCGGCACGCAAAATAATAATCGTAATTATAATCCATCTGTTTTTCACTATTCGTTTAATTAAACAAAAAAAAAAACAGCAGTATTGGATTCTGCTGCGGTGCTGGGTTTGGGTTTTATCAGGTGTGAGCTCACAGATGGTGCATTTTATTTGGATAAAGTGAATATAGACGCTCACATCCTGGCAACAGAATCAACATCCTGCTCTTTCCTCATACATTGTTATGTCTTATTAGAGCAAGTTATAAAAATAAATAAATACAAAACCAGAGATCCAGCATGCATGAAATACACCACTGTTTGTTTGTTTGTTTGTTTGTTTTTAAAAATACTTTTGCATTTGTTTTCTGCGAGTACGACAGATTTCTGTTAAATAAACCTACTGATGCAGAAAGATAACGCAACACTTTTATTCTATATAGGGCCTCTGTTTTGTGGTTGTTAAACTAAAAGCTGTTCAGACATGAAGATATGAACTTCTACGATTCCTCAAGAGGTCAAATAAACATGTCAGCTCAGACCATGAACACTTTTCTACCAGCATCAGTCTCTTGCATCATTTGCAGCGACTGAATCACACATGATGAGTCACGTGATGAGTTCAATGCCCTCCTTCATATGAGCACACACACACACACATACACAGAGTCGGATGGGTTTTAGGTTTTGTCGAGCCAGCCTTCACACAGACAGGCCGGCTATGTCATAGTTCAGCCTTCTGTTGTGCTTCAGTGCACCCCGAGCTCGGCCAATGTTTACATCTGTTAGCGTCTCTGCTGCTCTCTGTTCTCCCACATACTGTATTTAAATACAGCCAAATTCCCCATAAAGCTGTTCTCATTTACATATTTATTTCTGTTTCTGTTGTCGGGACAATGAAATGAAAGAGTGACTGAAACGCAGCCCGCTAAGACGACAGAGTTGTTTCCAAGATGCTGCTCTGCGCCGCCAATCCGCTGATCCACGACTCACAAACTCACCGTCCACAGGAGTTAAAAACAACAACCGTGCTGCAAATTCACACATACGTCAATGTCATAAGATCACTCAGAGAGAAAGTTAGAGGCGATAGAAAGTCCTGGTTCCACACAGATGCAGAGAGAGTCTTCTTCCTGAAGACGACATGAGCAGCAGCAGCTCGGCTCCGATTGAAGCTACAGATCCTGAAACAGCCTGTTTAGATATTTAACCATAGACTGTATAAAAGATGGACGTAGCAACCGGCCCCGAAAAATGAAGCCAACCCAGAAGTGTCAAAAACCTGCAGCATCACTACGTCCACTAGCTGCTGGCCCCACAAAGTCCTGGCTCCCATAGACTGGAACTGGAAAAGAAGTGATCACAGATCACCAAATACTGCATTCCTACAGCTCAGGATTGTTTTCTTATTAGTTTTCATGGTCAAGTCCAGAGATCAGGTGGCCAATCTGAGAATAAATCAATACTGAATTTTAAAAAATCGTCAACATTCTGCAGGGCAAGGGGCGTGGCTGGTTTGATTGACAGTCAGCAGCGACCATACAGACGAAGCGAGCAGAAGGCGGTAAATGTGGGCGGGGCAGAGAGAGCCCGCCTCTCAATCCGTCTGACCAATCGCTGCTCCTATGGCTCCGCCCCCCTCCCACAATTTTTGCGTCACTGGCTCCAAAAATCCAAGATGTCAACCAGGAAGTAGCAAAACCCTGGCTTCATGTTCTCAGTGCAGAAACCAACGGGTGACGTCACGGCAGCTACGTCCATCTTTATACAGTCTGTGTTTAGATCAGAGCTACAAGCAGAGCTCAGACAGCCACGGTGACAGAAACCATTTTGCAGTTATTTGAGCTGAAAAACTGAAACACACATTCTGAGATTAGTGAGACTCATTTGCTGAATATCAGAGATTTAAATAAAGGTTTTTGTCTTCAAAATCAGTTCAACTCTATTTAAAACCTTCCATTTATTTTTATTACAACTGCAAAATAAAAAGAGAGGATTCTGTGGTATTAACTGCTGCCTATCTGTAAAATATGATCCGTGAGATAGTGAGTTATAGCAGCAGGCTCAGTGAAGCTCGTAGTCTCTCCCGTCTCGCTGCTGTTCTGGCCTCCAGTGTCATAGTGGGAAGAAAAACACTCCTTACAGGAGTTTGCATCACTTAACAACATGGCCGTGACACAACTGTGACTCTGTGTGAAAATACCCCAACACGCTTGAATTTTAAGTCCGCTAAGCCAATTAAGGAAGCAGCAGTGACCAACTTGTCAACATTCACCAACAATAAATTCACCACAGATAATTTCATAAGCCCTTTCCCTCAAACCCGCCAAAGCTCCCGCTCTTAGTTGTCCTGTCAAAACTCATTAGACTCTCCCGTTGGCTAATATATCTGGAGCCTCCGCTGCCTTTCTGATAAACATACACATGATCCATTGTGACAGAATAATAAAACAGGGACAAAAAAGGTGCAATTAGGTTTATAATCTATGGAGATGAGCAATTAATGCCTGGTAGGAAGCCGTGATTCTGACTTTTAATCAGGCCAGTGTTTTCTGTGCCCATAAATTCGATGATGGTCCCTGATGAATAATGCATGGTCCGTTAGCGCTGATGTTCCTGTCAGCCGACATGACGATATGGCTGAGCACAATGGATCACATTATACCTGATGGTTCATGCATCACAATGCAACTGATAACATTACATCTCCGGACCACAGCGCCCGAGTCTCTACGATCACCTTGATGGATTTTACAGCTATCTCTGCTTCTACGAATAAGTTTTGTGTTCAGCACCGTTTGAAATCTACAAGCGCCGATGCTGACCGACGACTAAGAAATGGTAAATAATGTTAAATATTAATAATAAATGTTTTTGCCCTGTGGTTGAAAGTTATACAACTTATGAGGGAAGGATGTTTTTTTGAACAGAGGCCGGCATTACGGAGAAAACACTTACTTGGCTTCGTCCAAAAGCAAGAAAATCTGCCTTGGAGTGCTTCTAAAGAAGCTAATTAACACATCACTCTATATCTTCTGTACTCTGCCCAATCTGGAAAGGAATCAAAATGTAAAAATGGCAAAAGGTGGTATGGATATTTTTATCTTACTCTGGGCAAGAAAGCAAGTGAGTCTATCTCCCAAATGTCAAGATATTCCGTTAAGTAGGCCTTAGCACCTGGAAGAAGGCCAAACCCGACGAACGAGAGCGTCTCAGTCGCAGTGAGAGGAATTTTAAACGTGACGTTCCTTCACGAGACGTTACCTTTAGCGCCGACACAGGTCACGTTGTGGACGGCGGTTCCAGAACCACAGGGGCCTTCAGCGGGAACGCATCGTCCCTCGTGCTGGACCTGCCAACGGTAGCAGGCGGGATCCTCGCAGGGGATGAACTCCGTCAGATGAGGGCAAGTCCCCAGAGCGCTGTCGGACTCCCACAACACTTCTCTGCTCCTCTGTCTGAAACCTGACGGAAAGCAGGTGTGGAGGAGGAGGAGGAAGGAGAAGAGAAAAGGTTGTCAGAGAGGTCACTGGTTTCTCCTGACGAAGCAGGAAAAGCACAAACGAAGCAAAGCCAAACAGTGGAACACAATAAATTAGCATTATTAATAGCCTAGCTGTAATTATTATCTACATGTGACTGTTTGTTTAAAGTTGTGATATTAGTGGCCTGAGAAGACCTGGTGTTGGTATTCATCTGAGATCAGGTCTCCACTGACTCATGCCATCGTGAGCCACAGCGCTTACTAATAAAAGCTGTCACGTCTCCCTGAAATCAATGGCAATTAAAGATGAATACTGAAAACACAAGAAAGGCTGGAAAAGCTTGTGTTTGTTTTGGTTTTGATCCCAGTGTCAGGCAACCACTGTGGTTTTATTTCTCAACAAAATAAAACTATTTAGCCTGTTTGGGTGCAATAATGCTTTGGACACAAATACATAAAATACATAAAACACATAGGGTCTATGCTAAAGCCGTTTAGTTTATCATCATATAATCCAATCATGCAGGTGCTACATCTGTTTATTAGGACTAAAATACAGAAACCACATATAAATGAAGGCACCTTTCATTAACTTCGGCACCGTTCTCCATCGTTAAACCAACAGCAGACATTAAAGCTGTTCTAACGGATTCGACACCATTTTGGATTTCATCTTAACCTTGATGAATTATGGAAACAATCATGTGCGATATATTACGCAGGTTAAACTGGCACATTTAGTGGCAATAACTCACTTTCTCTTATATTACATTTAGTATCTTTTAATTAACAAAAGCAGTCCGTGTGCAGCCAAACACTGTCGCTGCTGCAGACCGACTCTGTAACACAGCGGAGGATTCCTTCCCGGTCCATTCCCAGGTGGGGTGAGGCAGATAATGAACCAAATGGCACAGAAAATGAGAAGGTGCAAGAAGAAAAAATAAAAATAAAACAGAAACGTGTGAGCGATTGGGGTCAAGTTGAAGCAGTTGTGTCGTTTCCACAATGACACCTGTCTCTCCAATTACTGATTCTCACTTTCTTTTCACAGCTGTTGCCGTTTCCGTCACTAAATTGGGGTCAACTCTCCGAGCGGCACTGACTCCACATCTCACCCGCTGAAATCACACCAAGCAAAACGCTGTGGTCCCTCTGTTGCTGGTCGCTTGGAGAACCTTTAACCAGACAGGAGTTGTATGTCGTACAATGACAATAAACCTCTATCTAGATGTTGAGCAGCGGACATCTTGGTTTATTAGTTGTTCTGGGTAGCGATTGCAAAACAGGAACAATCTGTGAAGATCCACAGTTTGAAGTAATAAATTAAAGTGAAATCCGGCTCCGGTGTGTCAGCTCGGTAAACTCGTGCCGCTTCCTTTCTAAGCTTAACTATTTGTTTTCAAGTGAGAAGCGACAGGAAGCGATGCAAGCGTCTGAAGCCGTGGACGTCACCGCTTCATGGTCTGAAATGTCACATTTACTGAGTCGAGTACGAGTCGCCGTCGGGGGTAGAAGTCTTTGTGTCACTGCACATTTGTCAGTTTATCAGGATGAGACAAAACGTGGTCGTCTTACTACGACGCTCCCTGTTTTTGTTTCCATCCTTTACCTGCAGCTGGTCTATGGGGAAGGAGGAGATTTAAAACCAAAGAGGCTCCCGCTTTGAAGGATGTCCTCCTTATTTGTCCTACACAGATCGCTTCTTATCGACTTCAGAAGAACTTCGGAGTATATTTTTGCCCCTGGAAGCACACGAGGACGGGATGTTTTAATTACAGCAAGTACAAGAGCTTCGATCGTTCATATGGACACGAGACTATTGTTTGAAGAAAAACTGTGTAACGCGTCCTTCAAGCATCACCACGTTATAAGATCCTCTGCTACACTGATTGAGACACATTTTGAGCTCGACTGGGAGGCAATGAAGTGAATAAAAGAGTTCTCTGATGTTAAACTTGGAATATCACTTCTAGAGAAAGATTCTGTACGACTAAACATTTTTCCAATTATGTGTAAGAAAATATTATTTGGAAACAGCTTGACGCTGTCAGCACAACAAAAACACCAGTGATTGAAATAAATTGGCCTGAAAAATCGATGTAGGGGGAATTTGAGCACTTCTTAAAGCTTTTAAAGTCGTTTAAACGAGATTAATGCTTAAACAAATGAAAGTAAATCCAACAGACCTTCTTAATAAGTCATTGGCTGATTCATTACTTTCATCTGTCCAAGATTTTCAGTGTTGCACAAACCCTCAGTGAGGGTCTCTGGTGAGATGAATGGATGAACACCAGTTGGCTGTTAGCGGTTAAAGAACAACTCCCCGTTGGATCTTAGACGGGAGGATTAGCGTAGCGCGCTATGCTACGTAGAAGAAAAAATGACAACGATCCCAAACGCTCCAAACATGGCTTACATAGCAATTAGCAAACTCTCCAATAACACAATCAGCATCTTGACACAATCATTATCATTAAGCCAGTTACCTAATCACCCTTAATTGCATAATTGTCGTATATTTTTATTGATTTCCTCCCACTCTGAAGGAATCAATCTTCTCTCAACTGGATTGTTCATTAAATATTAATATCTTCATGAGAAGATCTGCACTGATTGGATGATCTAATTTATCGATTTTATTGACGATCAATCTCCTTCAATTCGACACTGACGAATGTTTCTTGCGGGCGAAACGTCACAGCAGCAGCTCCGGCGCTTCCCTCCGTCCACAGCTTTCCTTCTGAGCCCGACTCATTTCGCTGCAGCTCTGACACTTGGCAGAAAGGTCCCAGGTTCTTCCCCTCCACAGGTGCAGCTATCTAACCCCCAGATGCCTCCGCTGAAAATTACATCCCCCCCAACCATCCACTGGTGCGAGGCTCCAGTTCAGGAGGCTGATCCGACTGATGCGGCCCTGAACGTGCTCTCCGAGAGTGAAGAGACTGCGGATCGATTGCAGTATTGCCCAGAGCACTTACTGCTACTCACATACAAACCGCAAAAAACAATTTGGCTGGGCATGCCCCCATGGTTATTAATAATTGAAAGGTTTCTTGGTCATACGAGGTTTATTTCAGGGAAACAAGGACCAACCAGTTGTTCAGAAATACACCTCCAGCTTTGTGATTTCTAGCAGAGGTATTACTGAAAGTCTATCCAGTCGCCTCCTGTGTTCATTTTATTCTCCCACATAGCTGCAAAATATGATAGGACAAGATAACGTGGAGAAAAAAAAGAAAGGAAAATGTGAAAAGCACATAAAGCCACAAGCGAAGCAATTTAAATTTGTAATTTTCCGGAAAGCAAAGCTGGGGGCAGCGTAAGCGCCTTGGCTGTTGACTCCTGCACCTGAAACCTGGGATCCGCGGGCCGTTTGGTTTAGAGACAGATCACAGTTTATTCTGATGTTGTGAAACATAAAGGATAAGTGCACATTCAATAGGAGCAAGAAATTCTCTGCAGCTCAAGGGCTACAGGCAAACGACTTGGATCATAACAATGCCCTACTACTCAATAACTGTTCATTGCATCGCAGGCAGCAGAGCTCGGCGAGTGATTTTGTATTGGTGTCATACTCTGTCTGCTGTGAGTCTTTATGAATACCATCAAAAGACAGTGTGCCACAAGAGAGCCCTGTGCAAAACAGCAGATGCCGTGTTTTCCACTCCTTGAAATATATTAATGACACTGTCTGTGAGAGGAGTCGGCTCATCCCGTAGAGATTCGGCGTTGGAGAGTGTGGGCACTGACCTGAACAATCCACACTTCAGTCGCTCCCCAGGGCGCTTTCATGCACATTTACTCACGGCAGGGACGAGGTCATGCTGCCCTTTTAGCACGGCGCTAACACACTAGCAGCTCTGCCGGTGCACACTGGCTTAAACACACACTCGGCTCCGCACACAATGCACGGGCCGTCCAAGGCAGTCAGATATGACACGCTTTCACTTGTGCAAAAATACAAGAACATCACACTTCACATAAGCATACGCACACAGACAGGAAGCATCTTATCTGCTCCGTTCACCCTCCCGGGGCTGAGAGCTGAACTTCAGGTGTGCTCTGCTTCCCGTCTGCTCTTCTTTATACATGTGCTGCCTCCTTCCACAGCGCTGTTCTGTTTTTTTTTTTTTGTCTCAGCCAGCCGCTTATCAACAAACAGTTTAAGATTCCAGCTTATGCTGCCTCTCTCCTGCTCTGACAACGCTGTTCTGTTTCAGCCGATGCCAGACACAATGGTTTGGGTTTCAGCGTTGCCAAAGCGCCACGCCGTCCGTCGCTGAGACACTCAAAGCGTGGAGCGGTGCTAAATTGATAAGGTGCACGTGTAACAGCTTTCAGGTCAGCGCCTTGTTGACCACATTACAGGCACTCAGCTCTTCGGCAACAATCGCTGATTGTAAATGTACAACCTGGCTCGGACCAATAGGACCCAACGGCTAATTGTTTCTGACTGAGTGCTTGCGATGTCGCCACCGGCCCATCTGTGCAAATATCAGCTTCAGTTCTGAGCCGTGTCTGCGTGCTAGCTAGCTATCAGTCGCATCTTTTTTTGGGATTTTTCTGCGGCCGGCCCTCTGTCTCCCCATCTGCCAAACATGATTCTGAGAAATAAAAGTATTCTGCTTTTTGAGACAGTTGGAAAATGGATGCGTCTTGGAGCAATCTTTTGGCATGTAGACGAAGGCTCTAATCTAGTCTGGTTGTTATCGGGGCTCTTACATCTTGTTACAGCGGCTATTGTTGCGAGTATTACTGGCTGTGGTCTCCTAAAAATAACGTTTTCAATTGCGGATGTTTTCCAGGGACATAATTGCGACTAGATTTCATTTTATATTAAAGTTCTGATCATAATACGTGTATGTAGTTACTGCTGAGTGAGTCAGCGATGCGTTTTCTTATTTGTGATTGTAGTTAAGGTCTCCCTGCACTCGCTGACATTTAGGGAATCATTGCGGTCTAATTGAATATAAAAGTGCACAATGTGTTTATTTAGTGTAGATAATTGGGTTTCCTTTCCTGGCATTGATTAAACACCTAAAACTTATCGAAGTTTGTTTTTGTTTTGTCTTGGACTGGTTTACATGAAGCTTTGATCCCTGTATAACCAGCTCATGTTTACCACTCATGACCTACATTTTGACGTCCACCCAGGTTCTCTGGGTCCATACGGGTCGTCTGTGTGACCACGCAGACCGTCTGCACCGCACCAGGAAGTGGTGGTGACTCTCGTTCAGAGGAGAGGCCGTCTGAGGAGAGTCTCCGTCACCCACAGCTTCATAATTCGTCGTCTAAAGAGTCGCAAATGAAGCAGCGGCTTCCGTCAGCGGAGCCCAAACACAGGAGGAAGTCCTAATTTCCTCACAAGTCCTGTGCAGCGTCCACCCACTGCGCTCAACACAACTCAGGAATAATCACGTTAACGCGCTGTAACCAATCTCCAACCAGCTGCTCCTTTAAAAGTGCATCGACACGGGCGGCCTTTCAGAAACATCCACAGGAGCCCCGTTCGCTTTTCAGCCTCTGATGTTTGGAGAAATGTCCACACAGCAGACTGACGCCTAACTGTATGAATAGAACTGGAAATAAAACACAAACTGATTGATGGTTCTAGTTTCCCAACCCTCCAATCACACCTCTGCAAATGGCTGCAACTCAAGCACACCAGCTTACCCATGACTCAAACACAGTGAACCTACTCTACATCATCCATCAATCAATCATCTCTACACCTTAACCCTCACCAGGGTCATGGGGGGCTGGAGTCTATCCCAGCTGACTCAGGGTGAAGGCAGGTTCACCTGGACAGGTAACCAGTCTATCACAGGGCTACACTTAGAGACAGACAACCAAGCACACTCACATTCACACCTACGGACAATTTACAATCACCAATTAACCTCAGCATGTTTCTGGACTGTGGGAGGAAGCCGGAGAACCCAGAGAGAACCCACGCTGCACGGGGAGAACATGGAGACTCCACGCAGAAAGATCCCGGGTGTCCTCACCGAGACGCCAACCGGCGACCTTCTAGCTGTGAGTCGACGATGCTAACCACTGATCCACCGTGCAGCCCCAGAAAACACATGTGCACGTAAATTAAGCTAGTATGCATGAAGCTTTTCTCATTTAAGTTTTTGGTGAATAGTAATAATATAAACTCAGGCAACTCTTTGCTTGCTAAAGACACACAACATGTAAAGTGTGAACGATGCTAATATAATAAAATAATAATATATAAAGTAAACACACAGCCATTGTTCATCTCTGCTGCCAAACTGTCTTGACAGGATTCTTGTCTATTTATCTATGCAGATCCCGGGTGTCCTCACTGGGACGCAAACCGGCGACCTTCTAGCTGTAAGGCGACGATGCTAACCACCGAGCTACCCTGCAGTCCTGCTGTACATGATGCAAACCAGAAACCAAATCTGAGAAGAACAACAATGTGGAAAGCTCCATTCCAGAAGTTAACAGCAGTGGTTCCTCAAGGTTCATATGAAACCCTGGATGTCTGAATCCATGTTTTTGAGATGCTATGGCTTCTAGCTAATGAAAAAACACCGATAACTTGGTTAAAATAAACATTTATATACGTATATGTGTGCATATATCTATATATCTATATCTATATCTATATCTATATATATATATATATCTATATCTATATCTATACTGTCCTGGGCAGGTTTTCAAGTCGAGTGATGCATGAAACACAAAAAGATTTGATTCCAGTGATTTTCTGCATTAAGTAACGAGGGATGTGCATTTTAAGACTCTGTGCTCCAAATGCGTGTTCGATGCACTTAAGACACATTTTGACATTTTGGGGGAATCGTTCACGACCTTTTCAAACCACACATTCTGTCGTCCTGCTGCATTTTTACCGGCACCGCTCGCACTGAAATGAAACAAAATCAGTCCTCAGCATCCATCATGTGCTGCTTTTGCTTTACTTGCCTGCTTAACATATCATTTTATTTAATTTTTACCTTTTTTAACCTTTGTGTTGTGTCCAGGGCCTAATGCCATCACACACACACACTCACCCATAACATCAGAACGCCGTCCACGGTGGCCGTGTCACCGCTTTACACATTTACATGCGCCTCTGAAAACCCATCAAAAGCCAAACCTTGTCAGGTGTTATGTCCAATTTACTTCAACACACCTTTCCTCCCCTGCGGTTCTCTGCAGTTGTCGTGTAGGCAGGCACCCCAGGGTGACCACGGGGAGAGCAGGCAATGGTGCTGGCAGGGAACGGAGCAGAGCTGGACTGCCAAGGGGGGCTCTTCACCATCACACAGCCTGGCATTCACCGGCCTGGACACTGAACAGACAAAAGAAACACAGGCGAGGATAAACCCAGCTCAAGTCGAGACACACACAGGCAGCTGTGGCCTGTGTGTGTGTGTGTGTGTGTGTGTGTGTGTGTGTGTGTGTGCGATTGCTGCCAAATAACATGTTTGGGATTGGAATCCAAACAGAGGGTCGCTGCTAGATGATGTGAAGAGAGTGAAGAAGATGAAGAAGCATCGCCGCCATCAGACCAGAAAGTATGGATGTGATTTAGTTCTGATTGGGAGGAAGGAATTTCTTTTATCGGCGAAGGCAACAACTTGAAATTGGGCGCGCTGCGGTGAGAAGCAGGCTACGTATAGCAGAGAGGACTGCGGGATCAGAAATGGAAAACTGTTCACCTGAAGTCCGACTCGGGAGGATCCTCCAGCTAAGGGAATAAACAGGAGCTGAATAGGGAGATATTAAGTCAAGACACGCCGGAGCCGATTGGCCGCTAAGCATGGCCGACATCATTTGAAGATCACAGCTCAGCCACCTGTAATGGGCTCTAACACGGAGTAAGAGGGTGTTCTTACGTGTCCACAACACACGGATGTATTCAATCTATTATTCCATTTTGATGCACATCATTGAGAGGCACATTTCCATTTAAATGAAAGCCCATAGAGGAATTCTCCCACCGCGCGCGTCGTCTTCTCACCAAAAGTAATTTACATTGTGTTTGATCTCCTTTGTAAAATAATAAAGAAAAAGAACGAGATGCTTGCTTAAACACATTGATAAAGCGCCGTGCAGATCTTTGTTCCCTAAATTGTGTTTCTGTTCTGTTTGTGGGTTCGACATCAAACAGGAGTGTTTTCCACGTTATCGGACCGAGCGGCGCCACATGCTACATGCAGCCACTTCTGCCTGAGCTCGCCGGGTCGCATCCAGGTCAGCGTCACGTTTCGGCTAATGATGTTTGTCGCTCACATCCGCGGGTTCAAAGAGCTGCTGTCGCTGATATCCCACACTCAGCTCATACATTCACCGTCCAAATGCGGTTCTGATCCTCGAAGCGTTTCTTTGAACGCGTGCGGTGAGCGAACGGGGCTCAGCTGTCGAAACACCTCGACTGCAGAGCGAAGCCGCCCAGTAGAGAAAACACGGATGGAGGCAAAATGAATAAGTTATTATTTAAGAAACGGTTCTATCTATTATGCTAGAAAGAATGTGATTTGCAAATGAGACTTATAGTTGACAGTCATTAAAAAACTACCCACTGTGCTTAATTAAAAAGATAAATTAAATACTTAGTATGCATGCGCTGAAATTTTATTATTTTTTTTATTATTATTATTCAAGTGATTTATAAGCTTAGAACTTTGATTTAGTTTAATTGAATTTTCTTAAAACAGTATCAGTTTTTAAAGCCCTCAGTAGCGCTGGGCGTCTCATCGATTCCATAATTTACCGTATTATGTACGAAAAGCCTGAATAGATTTACAGGGAAAAGGTTTAGATCAAAGCTTTACGGTGCAAAAAGTTAAGCTAGAGCAGAGTTTACTTCCGTTTTCTTAAAATCTTACTTGCAATAAGTTAAACAAACGCAGAACAATGAGAAAGCAGCAGCGAAGGTCTCGTTTGAGCTGCTAACCAGTAATAAAAGGACCCGACCCAGCAGGCTGTTTAGGTTCAGATGAGGCTCCTGAGGATAAGACGTTTAAATCGAATCAACCACAAATGAATAATCATGAATTCGTTCTTGTATTTTGCAGACACACGCCAAGCGTCCACCATGATGGTCAGTCATTCAGTGTTATCATGGAAACAGTTCTCCGTTTCCTTCGTTATCGACTTAAGTGTGGAAATAAAACGAGTGAAGCTCTTCAGGAACATGAACACGACGTTACAGGCAGCAAACAAGGACGACCGTCAGAACCGCTCTCATTCTTCTGATGCTTTAATCGCAGAAATATTAAAAGTATCAGCAGCAGGATATTTTTTTTCTTTCCTCTACAAAAGTTCAAAAAACTTTAAAAAGATTTTTGTGCAACAAAGAAAGCCGCCGAAATAAAACAGTCTGAAATTGGACAAATAGTTTTAAAGCTGAAACTATCAGAACAAAGAGAAACAAGAATCTGACTCGACTTTCAATCGTTGGTTTTGATCATTTCTGACACTCGGTCTTCAGTCGCTGCCAGAACCCGCTGACGCTCAGTATCCTCCTGAGTACGAGTCATTATGTGACGGGTTTTAAATGCTGATCCGTTACCGCTCTGCGACCTTCTCTCTCAGGTCAAAGCTCCGTCGAGTCTGACGGCCGTGTCGCCCACGTGTCGCTCTCATAGTGCTTCACTGACAGCGAGGTAGAAGCCACGACTGGTATCTCCTCACCGCGCTCATCCTGACGATCATCTCCACCTTTTAAACGCACTTGTTTTGACTAAATGCAGTTTCTTGATTTCTCTCTTTAATTCTCCGCCACGGTGAATTAACGACCGTCCAGATTTTATTTCAGCTTGTTAAATCTGGATAATGCATAAAGCGCCGCCATAACTCCCAGTGAGAGGGTTGATCAGGTTCAGCCGAGTCTTTAAAGTGAACTAATTCGGTCCGTTTGATTCTGACGTGATTTAGCAGGAAAACACTCTGACCTGCAAACCTGCATTCCTCATAAAACCGCTTTACTGGTTTTCTGAAAGCACCCGTTCCTGCTACAATCCAGGCCGGTTACGTAAATCCTGTAAAATACATTTACTGCAGGTCAGATTATTGTGTCCTTCTGGCACTGTTACGGGAGAAGAAGGTCGACACCAAAGAACGTCAAACGGTGGCTGTTATGAAGCCGAACATCGTCGTGTACGTTCATATGTGAGTAGAGTGGAGCTGCACTTTAGGAGCAGCCAGTCTTGTCTCTATTTTCAAGTGTCTTGTGAAGTTTTGAATCTCTGGTTGTTAGATTTAGACCACAGCTCATGTTTTCCCTAAAAAGATGATATCTGGAGATATTCTGGTTTTCTTACAGTGGATCAGATTTTTGTTATTGTTGTTTTTTCATACGACTAATTACGATCCATCCATCCACAGCAGTGATAAATAATAAACTTCAATTCTTTTGCATTTTTCAAAAGCCAGTTTACAGACATGTAAACATAAATTAAACCCAAAAGTCAAATTAGGAAGGCTGATGAGTAAATAAAAGAACAAACACCAAATGATAAATAAATGGAAATCTATTTTAATATAATGATTCTGACATTAAATGGCTGCACGTCTGATTGAAGAGGTTATTTTAGGAGCTTGCTGCAAACGTTTTACCTCCCTCTGTGTTGCTCTGGGGACTGAGAGCAACATCCACAAGCTCTGACCGGCAGTTTGGCATCTCTCTGTAAAATACATCCTCATCGGCCTCATCGGCCTCATCGGCCTCAGTGTCCTGCTCCGTTATGTCCACGTGTCACCACGGCTGTATATTCAGCCTCCTTGTTTCACGGCACACATCGGCTGAGACGCACCAGAAGAGGGATGTTTGGTCCTCTTCATGTAAACAACAAATATCAAAATGCTGTTTTTTTGTTTGTTTGTTTGTTTGTTGGATAGCGGCACTTGAGAGACGTGACACTACTTCACAAGTTTTAACACATTTGCTGGCTGCTGCAGGTGAGAGCGTCGTCATCAGAGGTGCTCGAACGCTGCTGCTGGAGGATGAGTAATCATTTAATATGAAGTCTGAAATGCAGCTCTGGTGAGGAAACATATCAGCTCTGGAGGAAGAACGAGCGTTTCCACATGCAGAGCAGCGGCCTGCTGTGTTTCAGATGCACTTTATTACACCTCAACGACACACGTTGATTAAGTCTTCCTTCACTCTGAACATGTTTTAGCGACGACGACGCAGCATGCTTATGATTTTTTTTCTTTTTACATCCAGACAACCAGCCTAATGTTCTGCCTTAATAATTCAAACCACATCAGCGAGTGAAATTTATGGTGCTTCCAGCGACGAAGGCGGTTCCTTTTCTTACCCTCCTTCCTGTGATGTGGCGCCGAGTCATCGGGGACTTGAACGCAGTAGGTCTTCCTGGTCTGGATGCCCCCGCCACACAGAACGCTGACGTTGGCCAGCCGCCGGTCCTGCTGGCTGAGCAAGGGCAGGATGCGACACTCGCCCCAGTCGGTGGTCCTCCACACATACCTGAACACAGAGGACACAGGTATAAGTCGAAGGAAAATGAGCGAAAAAGCTGCGAAACGTCTGACAGAGTGTACATGAGACTCATGTCTGTGTGTTCTCAAACAAAAAAAGTCTGTAATCCATTCAGAGACAAATTGATAAATGAGTGTGCTGAGAGCGGGATAACGTATCAGCAGACAGAACGCAGCCGCCGCAGTTGTTTTCAAAAAGTCACACAAAGCAAAGACAAATTAGCGAGAGCAGTCTCTGGCAAGAGGCGCTCTCACAGTGTGGCAGGAGGAGGGGGGCACCATTATTCTGATTTCAAAACTTCTAAACAAATGTTTGGTTTCAACTATGAAAAATGCAGTCATGCAGAAAGCAATAATATTTGAGGAGTTTACCAGAACAACAGCCTGTAGTAATCTATCAAATGCTTAATTTCTGTAATGAGTTTTCCCTAATCATGTAAATCCTCTGCTCTCAGGCACTCCATGTAGATTTAGCAAATAAAACAAAAATCTACCAGCAGGGAAAGTAATTCTCTATTGACTACTTTGTTATATTAGCTGAAGCCCGTCTTAACTCCGACGCTCCTGAAACAATGAGGTCGTGTCAAACCCCGTCCCCCATCCTGCTGGGTCTGTTTGACCAGAACCTCCCGGCGGTACACGAGGTTACTGCGGCTGTCACAAAATAATTGAAGTGATGCCAAAAATATGCACAAAGTAATTCAATAGTGAAATCACAAATATTTGCAGCCTTTGGGCTTCGCTCATAATTATTCAGGTGAAAGAGCTCCGAGAGGCAGAAATAAAAAATCATTATTAGAGTTTGACATTTATACATAAATATCAGGAGATCAGACATGAACAAAACTTTTGTTTCTGAGGATCATGAGCTCGATGGTAATTGTTATTATCGGCGGTAGAAATGACCTGGGGCAGTTTGGAAGCAGGTCTCCTATGATGTTGCACGCTTCTTTTTCCTCGAGGGCCGGGCATCGCTTCCCCCCGCTCAGCGAGATCTGCGTCATGACCCGTGACCGGAGACGGTAACCAGGCGACAGGTCGGTGGACCGGCAGGTCTTAGAGCAGGAGCTCCACGATGACCAATCAGACGTCTGGCAGTCTTTGGGCATCACACATGCCTGGAAGGTCAGGGGGGAGTTGTCCTTGGTGCACAGGCTGCAGATGGAGAAGACTGAATCACTGACAAAGAAACTGTTCATCGCAACGAGATAACTTAATAACAAAGTGGAATTACAACAGATGTCAGGCGTGGTTGGGATTTAGGTAGATTAGAGAACAGATTTCATGAAGTATAAGTTAAATCTAACGTACGAAAACCCATCTGCTCGGAGAAGCTAGCGGAGATTCCTGATGAACAACTGGCCTTTGCCGCCTCCACTCGGCGCCGCCACACGACCTAATAGCTCAGGTCTCGGGACATAAAGTCAACCTTTTACACGAGCGCTACAAAGAGCCGATATGCTCACTTAAAAACACGAAACAAGAGCATTAGTCGTGTAATTACAGCTCCTATTGTTTAATTTGAGCAATGCAATTAGTTAGGTTATTAAGATGTGAGTACAATGCTCATTTTCGAATCTTACTTTGTAATTAGGCTGTAAGAAAAGCAGAATGAGGAGGAATTCATGTGGGAAATCCATATTCAAAAGCTCCAATCCTCTTTCTTAGTCAAAAAAAAAAAAAAGAACCTAATGCTAATCAGGCCCTGTACAGTAAATGGTCCCTTCACACTCGAGCCATAAAGCCGGTGAATCGTCAAGGATGATAACGTGTGACTATCAAATGCATAACGAGATACGCTGCTTTAAGCCCCTCGGTTGAAAAGTGCAAACAAGTCTCATCGCATCCATCCTGCTATGATGCTGTAATTAGCACTGTGTTGAGCTCATGACTATACATTAAGAAATACCAAAGATTAAACTGAAATATCATTTAAAAGTTGGTTTCTGACACCGTGGTGCTCGGCTAGCGGCGTCACCAAGAGGATAGTTAGGTAGTCAGTATATTCTACATGCAATGATTTTCTCCTTCCTTGAAGACAGAACCCGAGATGGAGCGGTGTTAGGACTGTAAAGGTGTGTGCTCGCTCTGTGTGCAAAATCCATTCCTATCAAATCCAAATACCAGTTCCAACAGCAGGGACCGGGAGGGGAGCCACACTTGACATTTAGCACAACAACGCCGCGCCTCCTCGCCAGTTTGCTGAGAAAACACCAACTCTCACATAATCTACACATAATTGAATAAACAAACGGCATCAATAAAAAAGCGTCGCTGCTGAGAACGCCTTCACGGGGAGAAAATGTGCCACCGGGATCATAAGGCGGGACGCCCATTGATCACGTCCCTCCTGTGCTGCAAACAAACACGAGAGCAGAAGACAGAAAACAATCAGCTCCAGCAGAACTATTTAACCCGACACACTCCCACGTCCGGCCTCCACTGTTTTTACAGACCCCCTATTTATTACATCAGCGAGGAAACAGATTAACGTCGGACGGATCCAGTTACTGCAGCTGACCCGACTTCACCGGCTCTCCTCACAAAGCAGCGCTGCTCTTATTATAATCTGGGACCTTAAGAGATGCTCTGTTTTTACTGGGTTTGTTTCCAACATACGGTCAAGTGGAGAAAAAAAGAAAAAGTGCATCCCATGAAAACTGTGAGGAAACACTTGAGCCTGTGTGAAGCAGCGCTCACACACCAGGGGAAAGAACTGATACACAACACTGAAGTTGTTTTTATGATTCAAATAAAATAAACAAGGAAAAAATCTAAATGAGGGGTTCCAGATAGGTGTCACTGATTAGAATCTCCTGCTGACAGCTACAGTAGAACCTGTTTTAATCATCTGGTGTTGTCTTCATCATCTAAAGAGCTCTCTGAGGCCGTCAGAAAGAAATCAAATAAGCTTGTGGATGGTTGTGAGTCCGATTTGAAAACATCTCCAAATAGCTGGACATTCGGTGAAACCTCCCGCTGTAAGGGAAATCATCGGGGGCGAATTTCAAACCATTGCAAATGTGTCCAGGACTGTCTGCTCAAAGAAATTCAGGCCGGGAGCAAAAACTGTTGGATCCAGAACCGCAGGATTTCAACCCGGGATCAGCAGGTAACTCTTACAAGTGCATGTGTGTGCAATCAGGAGGAGGCTGCACAGATTTGACATGCAGGAAGAAGATTTGACTGTGTATAAAGAACATTAGAGCAACGTATGTGCAAAGATCAGACCTTCTGGAGTAACGTGCTCTGGACAGACAAATAGTAGACGTAGCTGTCTGGCCACAGTAGCAGTACACATGTCAGCAAAGAAGAACCTCATGGGGGTGGAAATGCCCCGTGGTGTGGCGTCGCTTTGCTGCCTGAAGGCCTGGGCAGCTCACAGTCATTAGAATGTCTGCATCATATCAAAGAGTGCCTAAAAATACCCACCTACACCTGTCCAGGAGTTAAAGACGAATTGGAAGTGAACCTTTCAGCAGAATAATGATCCCACGCATGCAGCACATGCACCGAGGCTGGACGACAAATGGAAGGATGTGAAATGATTCATTCAAAACCTCCATTTTGATGCAATTAAAATGTTGTGGGAAGTATTGAATCAGGCAGCACAGAAAATAAACCCTCACAGACCTTGTAAGTGAAGTAGTTTTGCATGAAAGAGTGGGACGGCGCTTTAAAACACGCAGGACAAGTTATTTCTGCTAAAAGGGGCAATGCTAGCTTCTACAGCTAATTATTTGTAGGAGAACATTATTATTGATATTGTTAATAATAGTGATATTTTTGCTCAATAAAAAATCCAATTTGGCGTGTTGAGCTGTGAAGGGTACCACCTTGATCCATAGGTGTTGTCTGAAGGAGGATCTTTTGTCCAAACATGCCAAAAACAACCAATATTTTTATTTCCACATCACTATTTATCGTGTGTTGGTTTCCTTTACGTCACGCTGTACTGACGCTGCAGCAGCTGTGAGCGGCTTACCTCAGCATAGCGTTCTTGCCGTCACTCCGTGTGCAGCGAACGTGTCTCGTCTGGTATCCCACCTCCAGCTCCCAGGACATGGGGTACTGGTTGTGCACGTGGTGGTGGTGCTGGTGGTGCTGGTGGCTGTGATGGGCGTGGTGGTTCAGAGCCAGCGTGTGCAACGTGACCGTGTTGTTCTCGTTGGAGCTGAAGTCCACCGTGGTCCGTCCGCTCAGCAGGGCGTCCTTGTGGTGGGGCAGTCGGCACTCGCTCCAGGCTCCTACTTTAAGGCTGTACTGGTGCTCGCCCTCCCCGGCAGGGCAGTCAGCAGGGTGCGAACAAGTCCTGGTCTCGGTTAGGTTGGGGCAGTTTGCCCCTCCGTACATTGGCGTGGCCAGGACGTGTCGAGTCCGGTGCTGCAGGCCAGCACCACAGGTTTTGCTGCAACTGGACCAAGAGGTGAAGTCTGACACCACGCAGTCCTGGGGGCAGGGGATGAGGCACGCCTGCTCCACCGGGGGTTTCTGGGAAAAGAACTCACATATCCTGGAAGTGACTGCGGTTCGATTGGAGGTGCGAACACAGTGGACTTTGCGCCTCTGGATGCCGTGCTGTGCCGTGACGCACTCAGGTGTCCTCAGCTTGAGCTCATTGGAAAAGAAAGGGACAAAAACACAGCTTCCCCAGTCGGACACCTCCCACTCAAAGAGGTTCTGGTGCCAGTCGCAGACCTTAAAGCACTGCCTCTGGCTCTCTGGCTTGTCCATGTGCTGGCAGTGAGAGTGGTGGGTAGTCCAGCCCTCCATGTGGATGCACCATATTGTCCTGGTCTGAACCCCACCAGAACCACACTCCTCCCCGTTACACTGACCCCACTGGCCTGCAACAAAGGAAAGACACATGGAGAGGGCATTTTCATTAAAAACTGGAGCTTTCAAATAAAAAAAAAAAAAAAAAGATGATTTAAATTGCAGCTATCTGGCAGCTTGCAATCAAGCACAATTCAAGGCCATTCACTTAACCTCCATGATTGCTTTATTCATGAACTGAGGAAGAAAGGAACAAAGGAACACAAAGTAATCAAACCACTGGCAGACATCAATATGGAAAAATACAAGGTCACTTTCTCGGTCACAAAGGAGATTCATTTAGGTTCCTGATCTCAGAGTGATCAATATTTTTGGGACGGTATGGCCAGCGGTTCACTTGGTATTATTTTTAGACATGCTAATAATGTCTTGAGATGCAAAACGATGTGAACTCTTTGAATGTGGCTTTAATTTCCAAATTCATTATAAATTTTCATCACAATGAAGCCGAGTCAGTTGAGCAGCCGAAGCACATTGTCTGCACAGAAGAGCCACCGAAGAGTTTTGGAGGTCTTTTAAACAAAGACTATTGTTTGGAGGCTATTGATTCTCATGAAATAACTCAAACCGACCAAAGACATCTGCGGCATTTAAGGATCCAACCATAATCTGTCTTTAAAAAGGAAAAAGAAATGTTAATTACAAAAGTGAAGATACTCGTATATGATGATGTGATGCAGCCGTAATACTCTGTATAAAGAGCAGGAACATTTCCTGGATGTCGAAAACTTCAAAAACTGCCAAAAATGTCACAATTAAAGAAGGTCACCTGACAAATGCTTCATTAAATTTTATATCTCACAAGTTCTGATGCTTGATTTAGTCCCATAAGAAGTCCAAAAACACGGCTTCATCACTGAGTTGTGCAGTAACATTCTATATATGTTTTAGATCTCGTGAGCACAAATCCTGCAAACCTTCAGCGTTGTTGTATGTTTACAGCAAAAGCCGACCGAGGAGTCGAGTTAGCGACGCTCGCAGAAGTTCAGAATCCTCATGAAATTGCTCGATCCAGCGAGTCTCCCACGCAGACGAAGCAGAGAGCGTATTTTTAGGTGTTCGCCACCATCGCATCTGAACGATCGTGTTTTTGATTTCCGCGGCTTGAAACAGAACCACACTTGGCGGGCGCTACTTGGCAGCATCAAAGTTTGTGTGACAAAAGCTCAGTCGCTATAAGTAATTTTCCACTTGCAGCACATGGTGGAAAGTAGTTTGTGGTCAGAGAGGGGACAAAATTGCTGATGTCTTTTTTTTTTTTTTTGCTGCTGTGCAAACTTCCATCAGCTTCAAATTGCAGCTAGTTACATGAATTCCAGCTGACCGCAGCCTCCACTTCTGTGGAGATGGGAAACTTTTCAGTTACGGGAACGGTGTAAAAATACAGTTAATAAGTAAAGACATCGGCTCTAACGACGGCACGGTGAACATATATAGTCTCACGTGTTTTTCTAACAAGAGCCATTAAGTCTCTTAAATGCTCGTAAACCTGCAAATTAAAGTTAATTACCTTTAATTGCTATAATTCTTTTTATTAAGTGGATTTCCTCATTGATAATGCATGAAGCACCTGTTGAATAGTGACGCTCACTTTGCTGAAAAGTTGCATTAATCAAAGTTTGTGGATTTCAATACGCACTCAGATGGATGTGCTCCAACATGTCCAGAATGTTTAAATTAATGTTATTAAAGACGGGTCATTCAATTTCACTTTTATAACGACATTGTGAAGACTTAGGCCAAAAAAAACTCCTTAATTTTTTTTTTTTTTTTGACCTTCTGTCCTCGTCTTCAAAAGAAGTCGACATAAATCAAAATGAAAAAACACAGATAGATCAATTTGCTGATATGATCCGGTTATCTCCATCAGTCACGTTCACTTCTCATCCAGTTATTTTGCCACATGCTATGAAAAAGATAATTTGATTCATTTCTTCTAATTGGAATTAAATTGATGTAATAATGAGATCCCACTGCTTCCTAAATTGCTTTTGAATTACAACTCGCTCAAAGTGCTTTATACCTTTTCGTGCCAGAGAAATCTGTTGTTAACACTTTGTTTCCCGGCCAACGATCAACACGACGGAGCCGCTCGGAGGCCGTTCCCGCCTCGTGTTCGCCTCGGGGGGGTTTTAAACTGCACATTTTTTCATAGTTCATCGAAGCACATCATTGAGTTTCTTAGCGCGGGTTTTGCAATGTTAATGAGACTTACAGTGTAACTAATATTATGTTATTAGGAGCTTCTTCTTTTTTTATCTTTTGCACTTAGATCATTTTAAAGCAGGTTTAATGCATCAAACAGAAAACGTCACACTGATGACAAAGATAAAACCGTGTTGCATTACTTTAATTTACGGCAAGATTTTTTCCACTGCAGAGACGATCATATGATCCGGCTTGGAACCAGGCAGACCATGCAAATCGCACCGCTGGTAAATAATCATACAGAAGTGCATGTTAATTTGCATGTAAAGAGATTAAATTTGCACGTGGAGTTGCGGAATCAAGAGCATGACTGTCTTCCTCTGGTTCGTTGTGAAGCGCGGTGGGGTTATTCCAGTAAACGCGCGGTGCATGTGCTACAAATTGAAAATGCAAATAAATCACGGCACAATGTGCATTTTGTTCCGTTCGCCTTGTTCACAGCTGGAAGTGAAGCTGTCCAAGGTCCAAGGTCAGACCGTTGTTCTAATACGACATCCATGTTTGGCATGAGCAGCAGAACGCCTTTCTCCTCCGGTCCAAGGAACACGCATGAACACAACATGGAATCTACATATGATTTGCATTGAACTATTTAAATTGGATGTTTTTTTTCCACTGTTGCTGTGCAATTATGCCATTTGCCTTTTTTATTGTATTCACTTTTGCCTCTATTAAGATGGAAGGCGACAGCCCGCGATAATGTGGGGAGAAGGCAGATTGGCTTGATTGGCTTGATTGGAGTCGGACCAGAATGATGTGGGATGGAGTGGGCCTTCCTTGGGGAGGGGCCACAGTTGGCTCCAACACTCTGGTATCAGGAGTCCTGCTGTGGACTGTCCATGGCAGCACCGACCACACTGAGCTCACCAACAAGCCAGTTTAAGGCTGTAGTATTAAACCTTTTCTCTACAAAACAGTTTTATTTAGAGGTCGGCTCCGAAGCCCTGGAGGTTTAAATATGTATAAAAAGTGGATTAGATTTTAATTTACATTGACCATTTTAAATAAACGGTAATTTGAAAATGAAGGTTGGTTATTTTATACACCTGTAGGCTACCTTGAACAACTTCGCTGCACGAGGCCAAACAACAGCTGGACGTAATTGCACGTCCAAACTGGACCAGCTTTGGTGGGAAGTGATTAATGACGCAGACACGTCTCTCAACAAAGCATCAGATGCATATTTAGACTAAAGCACATTATGTTGGATTTAAAGACAATCTAGTTATAACCTTATCAACATGTCAGTATGGTGGCAGCTAGAAGACACAAAGGAAACATGCAGTCGACACCATCTCTGCTTTAAAACTCTGGTGCACCAACGACGGTCCCAAAGCTGCAGATTGAGTCTTCTCAGGTGGAACCGGCTCCCAGTTTGGGTCTGAGGCCCTCTCTACTTTAAAAACTTTCCTCTATGATGAACCTTATAGCTGGGGGTGACTCGGGGTCGCCCATCCCTTCATTATGCTGCTATAGGTCTAGAATGTCGGGTTACTTCGAGGAACTTTGTGTCTTCTCTCTCCCGCCGTTTGTGTTTTGTCCTCTCTGCAGGTATGTCTGGATCTGCAGCTACACCTCTCTGATCTGCAGCCACCAGCCTCACTGATCTCCAAAGTGCTTTCTGTTCCCATGTTTACTGCTGGTCTGCTCTCCATCTGCTTTCCTTCTCTGCTAAATTAAATTGACTTTTACTAATATGATTTGGCGGCAGTTTTAATTCACGATTTGAATTCTGCTTCAGACGACGTGAACTGCTGTTATTTGTTTACATCAGATAGATTCTGGAAGCAGGGAGCAGGAGAGACGCATCGCTGCTGCCAGGAGACAGGAGGGTCTATAAAAGATCGCTTACATCACAAAGCCGTGGAAAAATCCCGGCTGTGGACATCAGTCAAATTTTAATTTTCAAAAAGTGCGCTCATATCGAGTTGCACATCCAACATGACCGCCTGACAAACTGCTAAAAGAGACCTTTTCAATTCAGTCAAAGCTGAAAAGACCCAAAAATTATAAATGGGTTTAAAATAGACACGAGGATCCCGGCGCAAAAATAAGACACGAGCCGTAATTCACGTCTGAGCTTGAAGACCTTGGGTGTCATGGCGGCCCCTCGGTGTCCCCTCGGCTCAGCCCTTGTGGCCACTCGCGGCACTTCTTCATGATAAACGCTCTTCCATCAGCGTGACCACCTTTGCTCAATAATGCTGTTTTCAAACTGTGCCAGGATATGAGTGTGTGATTTATGGAGGTGTGATTGGGAGTGATTCTGCTGCCAGGGGAGCCAGCTAACACAAGCATTAGTTCATCTCCTAAGCTCTGAATAATCACTCTCTCGATCTGTCAGCATCAGCATCTGTCAGCCCCTCAGGAGGAACCAGTCGCCCGCAGCTCCTTCATTCCTGTCGCACTTAGTCGCCTTGCTTACACCTCCAGGGGCTCCGGCACCCACGGCGCTCCCGCTATATTTACCTTTCAATTTACATCTTGAAAACTGAATTTGAATAAAGGGCAAGAGGCTGAACAGACTCCACCACAATACGGGGAAAGACAGAAATTAAAGCGGGCCGGCGTAGCGTGACCGAACACGTATTCCTTTTCAGCAGTTGAACCGTTAAGTTGGACAAATGATAGTAAAGCTGTACGATAATAGCAGCCAACACAACAGAGCCAATCTCCGCCGTGCCCCCGAGAAACCGGAGAGGGATGGAGGCAGAGAAGAAGCAAACAAAAGAGCAGCAAACTGTCTCCTAAAAAGCAGAGAGCGAGCGATCCATCACGGCGCTCACCACCCTTAAATCTTTTG